ATCAACATATTTACAAGGAGCAAAGACATATCCCATATCCCCATAGGCAACTGGTGTGTTTCTCATACATTATCATATACTAGCAACCATATTTTTTCGGGTAAGACTTTCAAATATATCCAAATCTATCACAAATCTTCACATGAGTTCCATTGTAATGTCCAGCATATATAACCAAATATAAAGGAAATTAGCAGCCAAGTCTCGTGGTGTATGCCTGTAATCCCATTGATTCAAGAGGCTGAGGAGGCAAGTTCTAGCCCAGCCTGGGCAATTTCATGAGACCCTCAAAATAAAAAGTGAATAGGGGTTATGGCAATGTAGCCTAGGTTTGGATGTTTGTCCTGTAACAAGACTTTCTCTATCCTGCCAGGCAGCTACCATATAATGACACAGAGACTTATTATTAATTATGAAAGCTGGCCTCAGCTTAGGCTTGATTTTAATAAGCTCTTATAACCTAAACTAACCCATTTCTATTAATCTATGCTCTGTCACATACCACCCACCCTGCCACCCATCCTACTTCTGTGTCTGCTAGCATCTCTCCCACACTTAGATTCATTTCCTACTTACTCTCTCTCTCTCTGCTCAGAAGTCCCACCCATACCTACTGCCTAAATATTGTCTATTCCTCTCTTAATGAAATCAATCACAGCAAATACCCTACAACATTAACTAACATGTATAAGACCACATGTTCAATTCCTGGTATATAATGTGGAAAATTAAAGTAGAATTCACATAAAAGAAGTACCAGGCCCTTACGTTCTTTAGAGTACTCTGAGGACAGCTAGATAATCTGACATGTGCTTGTCTCTTTGATACTAAACACACCAACAGAAAATACACCTCACACTAAACCTTGAGTAGGACATGCTGATGGAGAAAGACAGTTACCGTCCTACTAATTTGTTATCATTTATAGTAGAGGTTAGTAATGGAAACATTTACTAGTTTGGACAAAAACTGTATAGTAGCTCTGTGGGGTGGGGTGGGGAGAGGAGGCTTTGTACATTTAGCTATTTTTTTTTGTATTTTTTTTCTAGGAAATCATAATAAATCCCCAAACATACATGATGGCAATAATAAAAAAAATATTGCCCCAATACTAGCTATGATGATAATCCCCAAATGTCTGTGAGGGAGTGTATACAAATGTTACCAGAGCCCAGGAGGGAATGAACATTACTTTAGGTTGGCTATAAGGACACTTTGAGGATGAATGTTAGCTGAATCTTCGGGGTCGGATGAGCTTGGACAGAGACCAGGTAAAGCAATGAAGTGCATGACATAGTTTGGGCCGTGCGTGTTTAAACACAGGGAAGAGAACCTCCAAACAGTGGGGCTTCGTCTTTCCTGACTGCCACACATTTTTAACTTTCAGGAAAAATGGAAGGAAAAGAAAGAGCCTATTGAACCAACTGTTTCGGGTGTTCCTATGTGATCACAGCATCGCTTATATGGTGTGTCAAGCAAGGGATGAGCTCTTAAAAGGATATTAACGTGCCGTTTTTATCAAGCAAAGTAGCATTACAGAAGAGGTGATTTCAAAGGCACATGGTTCTTTCATTACAACCTTCAGGGGTAATGTTTGATCACTGAAAACAGGCTGCTTTGTTCCAGCTTGCTCTGATGTTTGCCATTATCCTGAATACATATGCTCTGACTTGGAAAGAATCAGGCTGTAAAGATTTAATAGATTTGAGGTGTGCATATTCAAAATACATGTCTCCTGGTTAAAATGGAATGAAAACCACTTGAATATGTATGTCTATACATAAGCAAACATACTTCAGATGCACATCTCAGCAAAACTTTAAGAAGCAATCACATATAAGTGTTTATTCATTCTGAGATTGTGGGAGTTGCCTATTTTTAAAATTCATCATTATATTAAAACTCAGGGAAAGTATATTTTAGGAAGTAATACATTGGTAAGAATGGAATATGGGAACCTTGCCTACTTCAGGGATCTACAAGAAGCTATATGATCTTGCTACCTGTCACTGACACAATGTCTTCATTGTGGGGGCCCCCTGAGCAGTCTTTCAAGTACAGAAGTGGTGAACTTATGGTTCAGCTGGTAGGTATTTTCCACGTGAACAAAGCCTTGGGGTGGCTCTCCAGCATCATGTCAAGTGTGCATGGCAGTACAAGGTGCAATCCCAGCATCCGGGAACCTGGAAGCAGGAAAATCAGAAGCCTATGAACTTCTTGGGCTGCATCATGAGTTGAAGGCTAGCCTGAACTGCACAAGACATCTGAGGGAGACAGAGACAGAAACAGACAGAGAGACAAAGAGATAAAGACAGAGAGACTTTCCTGGTTACAAACAAAATGGTAGCCACATTTTAAGAGAAATGTTCTGTTAGCATTTGCATGATGCTCTCCTCCTGATATTAATAATAGAAGTGAATTTCTTCTTTTATTTTTAAGGATAGTTATAGATGCTTAGGGCAAGACTAGAAAGTTTGAATGTGTTGGCTAGAACACATAATTTTATTGTCATAGAATTCTCTGGCTTCTCACCCTTACAAACTGATATATAATCTTGCACAAATTTATCTTTTGTATTTTGTATCCTTATTCTTTTCCCTGCCAGTCAGTTGGCTATAAATCATATTGAAGAATAGACACTACTGTACAGAAATTAAGTTCAACACTTTCAGCTAAAAGGTGTTCAGATAAATTGTGTCCCGTTCCCACGATAAAGGAAAAATCTTCCCTGAACACTTCCACATCTCAAATCCTTTTCCTGTTTCCCACTTTAGTGGCACCCAAGGTTTTCTGTGGGAGGGAGGCATGTTTTCCTCTGATTTGTTCTGTAACACTCTCAAAGCAGGTTATTTCAATTGTGTACTTGCAGTACAGACCAAGGCTTTACAAACCTTAATGTCCTTATTAATCATCTGGGGAGCTTGTTAAAAATGCGGGCTCTGATTCAGCAACTCTGACCAAGATTCTAACAAGCTCCCGGGTGACACACTGGACCACAGTTTGGGTAGTTAATGTCTAGAGTACAAATGACCTCTTATTAAATTGGTATTTGTTCCTGGATCCTGATAACTGGAAATGTTGATGATTCCCCAACTTCAAAGTTACTTCAGACCATTTTTATTTTGTGCATTGTAAATTTAATAAAAAAAAACTGTAAAATTTTGGCTTTCTCCACATATTCTTTCTTAAAACTAAACTAAACTAAATACTTCACCTCTCTTACTTTACAATTTAGACATAAGAAATCACTTAAAGTTTCTAGTATGTGTTGGGTTTTTTTTCCCATATCCTACTAGCTTTGCAGTACTGTTGGCTTCTGCCCATTTTTTGCCTTGTGTGACCCTTCCTTTAAAGCCCACATGGGCTGTTGTCTCCTGCAGGAGTCATTCCTGCTTTCTCTTTCCCATGGAAGTGAAATGCCTCTGAGACTAACACTCTGTATTTCCTACATTGTGGCTTCTCCCTGGTATTTTGCAATGTTTTCCCTACCTTCCCACTTCTTCCAGGACTGTTCCTCTGAGAGAAAAATCTATACATTTTATCCATGATGCCTACTGCCATTCACAAGGCCTAACATGTTCGGTTTACTGACTGAATGAAAAAGGGCCAGGATGTGTTGCAATCATACAAAAATATGATTCATTTATTATCTTTTCTAATGAACCTTAAACTTGAATTTAAAGTAATGAAAACTAAACTCACAAAATTTAAAAGTATAGTGGTAATGGTATAAAAAGTTAGTATGTGATGTATCATAGCATAGCATAGCAGAAAATGTTTCATTTTTTTTAATTATTTATTTTATATCTCAGCTTAATCCAGCCTCAAGTCCTTCATGTAACAACTGGGTAAAATCTCAGCTTCAGGAAATTTTACAAAAGCCATGAATGTTAGAGGGTTATACTATAATATGTATATGTATATTATATATATGCATATATAATATCTGTATGTATAATATATACATATATGTGTATGTACATACATACATACATAGATCAGAATCTGTGAGGGCAATAAAGTAAAACAATGGAAATAGAAAATTTACTTTTCAAAAGGAGAAAATTCAAAAAGCAGACAGACCTAAGCATTTTGTCCTCATAGCCACACATTTAGTGTGATCAAAAAACGCTGAGCAGCCGTGGAGTGGGTGACTAACTGCTATCATATTTAGATGCTTACACTTGTGTAATGCTCCTTAGGCCAGTTATAAGCTTCTGTTCATTTGTGATGGAACTGTCAGCCAGAGAAGCTCTTTTGACCAGGGCTGAACGATGCTCACATTTTGATTGTTTCACTGTCCACTCTCCTTCCATCAGAGACACAGAATGCAAATAAATGAATAAAAACATTAGTATTATGTGATGAAAAGTTTGTCAAGAAGGAGGTTGAAATTGTGACAAAAAGTAAAGCTGCTCCATTTTGCTGGTCTGGTCTGCCACCTATTGCCACAAAGGTATCGAGCGTTGTCTCCAGCTTGTCAAAAAACAACAGATAAAAATGGACAAGAAGATGTCAACTCACAATGATGAAGAGAACCTTATCTGGAAAATAAATAGGGAGCTGTTAGTATGAGGCCCTGGTAGATAGGCCTTTCTGTCTTTCAGTCTTGGATTGTATTACAATCCTGTTTGCAGGCCTTACTCAAATTGTTGTTGACTCATATAGGCCTAATTCTGTGACCTGGCAAAAAGGTACCGTAAATCCTGATAACAGGAGACATGACTGTGGTTTGACCTTGGATAAATGAGCTAACAGTGATGAGCGAACCATACATTTAATTTAGAGTAATAAAAAGAAGATTGTTTACAGTTTGCCCAGTGGATAAAGTGGAAATCCAATAAGTTTCCTGGTACATGGAGTCCATTTTGGGAGTGTCAGTTTTAACTCCAGTTTATTAGGTGGCCAAGGGAGGAACTGAGTAAAAATATTTCATTCTGTGCTCTTGACATTGATTTTGTTCTTTACTGTTTTTTAAAAATTATTTTCTTTCATTTCAGGGTCTATTTATGAAATGTTTGGCAATGAATGCTGTTTGTCAACAGGGGAAGTGATTAAAATTATGGGTCTCAAAATTAAGAAGATCATGGCTGAAATTTGTGAGAATTCTGGAGATTCTGAGTCTCAGAAGCCGTTTGAACTGCCTCTGAATTTCCCAGGTATAGTCAATGCAACCACTGCATACACTATGAATAGTTATACATCATCAAAACAACTGAAAACAAAAAAACCTGGCCAGCCTTCATACCATTTTGTTGTTGTTGTTGTTGTTGTTGTTGCTGCTACTGCTACTGTTTTAAAACAGGTTCTCACCCAGTAATCCAGACTGACCTTATTTAAGATTGTCCTGCCTGAGCCGCTGAGTGCTGGGATTGCAAGTCTGCAATGTGCTAGCTGCCTGGGATAGGCTGTGTAGCCGTGGTGTGAGTTGAAGAAGATACAGTCCCTACAGGTCAAGAGCTAAAAAAAGGCAGCCATGTTATACAATTTTTTTCATCTATTACTAGGAACTTGTCACTTAACTTAGCAAATAATGAATTATTTACAAGTGTTTATTGTGTTTTTAAAGTCAGATTATTTTTAATTGAAACATAGCAACATAAACAAAATATTAATGAAGGAATGTAACATTACCATTCATGAATGTGTACATAATATTTAAGTCAAGCTAAAGATCACTGTAGTCTCAATTATTTTGTTTTTCCTTATGGTGACAATTGTAAAAATAATCAAAAAACAAAAAACTATCTTTTGAAATGGATAGTACGTAATTAACCTTAGTTATCTTACTGAGTGATAATACACTAGAAATTATGATTCTTGGGAGTGCATTATGCCATGTACATCACTAAATGGTCAGTGAGAACCCATAAATCTGTTAACTGAGCATGGTGGTGCATATCTATGACCTTTAGGACAGGAAGATCATGACCTCAAGGGCAAACTAGGCTACATAACAAGGCTCTGGCCATCTGTCCCTCTCCAATAAAATGATAAAAATGAAAAGGAAATCAAAAGTACATTTTCATGAGGTGCATAAAACTAATTAGCATCACTTACATCTACCTATTTTATTTATTAATTTTTTTACGCTAGTTTTTTGCTTCGCTGCCCACATGGTCTTCCCAATCTGCTAGCTCCTTTTTATCTAGGTAACTCTTCCAAGCTTTCCGATACCATGCCTTGTAGGAATTGGTTGTCCTACATCCTATTCTTATATCCTTATTTTTTTATGTTCCTATGTGTGAGGACCACAGCATGCACATCATTGGACAGTCACTAGTTATTCTCGTGTCTTGTGCTCTAGACTATGGGCTCGACTATGGCCAGACTGTCACATTTTAAGGATTTGCCATAACTACTCCACTGCAATCTTGTAACATGAAGGCCACTACAAGGTAACAAACTAGTCATCCAATGGCCATGGTTGTAGGTTAACAAAAGCTTTATTTATACAAAGAAGTAGCTAACAGGATTTAGCCAGTCAACTTATTTGTTGATGTGTGCTCTACGCCACTAATTCCCAGAATTCATATTTCTAGCACCAAGTACATTGAGAATAAACTCAACACTTGTCAGTGGGATGAACAACTAAGTAGTGAATGAAAATCACAAATGCATTACAATATAATATGCTTTACAGTATGGCTGAAGTGCACCTACACTACATAGGATCAGTAGATTATGTTTTAGAATATGGGTTTGGTAGTTGTACTTCCAACTGCACCAGTTTTAATTGTGTATTTACTTTCACCGAATATAAAATTGAATAATACTGCTACATGGCTCTTAGTGTCTTTGAGAAGGATAATATTAAAATATAATTAAAGTGCTTGTTATGGCATCTGGAATATAAAATAGTCTATAAAATAGTGATAACTTGTACTACAGTTATCAGAGTTCGAATGGATATCATTGGAGAAGCTGAAAATGCTTTACAGAGAATGTGATAAACTCTTTGAGGTTTGGTGAGTAAAGATAAATTAATTGCATTATGGAGAAGAATCTTCAGAGTGCCAGTCTCTGTCCTTTTGAGCCAAAGCTTGCCTATTCTTTTATGTTCCTCCAGGTCTTTCATAACCTGGTTTTCCAACTTGGCTACATAGTGGGCTCATCTAGGGAGATTAGAAAGTCATGTGACATCCTGATTTATTTGGGTGAAGTCCGGTCACAGTTTTCTCCAAGCTCCCCAGGTGGTACTAGTATGTATGTACCTGAGGTAGAGAACCAGTGCTTAATAGCAAGTATTCCTAAGTAATAAAGTTAGATGTAATCTCTCATTCTCTCTCTCTCTCTCTCTCCCGCTCTCTCCCTCTCTCTCTCAACCTTACTCTGTCTTTCACTCTTTCCATATATATATATATATCTCACATGTCTCATATATTTAACCCAGGCTAGCTTCCTTTGTAGAAGAGTTGGGCCTCAAACTCACATAGAGTGCCTGCCCCTGCTTCCAAACTGTTGGAATTAGAAGCAAGTGCTTTCATACCCAGCCTATATCTCTACATTTTTATGTCTAAATTTTTGCAGTTATTGTAATTCATGTGTAATTAGAGTTATTTTTGTGCTTGTTGAACTAGCATGATCTAATAGATAACAAGGTGGCTAAGAGCAGAAGTGAAATCATTATTGCTGTAATTCTCAGTGATCAGAACAAGATGTACGGAATAAACATTCACTTAGTTAAAATATTCAGAATCTTCAGATAGCAGAAGAGTGTCTTACTGAACTGTGGAAATATTTGGCTTTTGACTAAAGTCTAATTTAGATTATCACTATTTGGAACATCCTTTGAGCTGCCAGTTAGCATAATAAGCTTTTCATTAATTGAGTAAAATGTTTAAAGATATGTTTACAAGTGAGTCTTATTATGAGGGTCAGAATTCAAATAGAGTGATATGGTGACTAATGATGGTTAGGTAATGTATTCTTCCAAAAAGACTTGAAGATCCTATATATATATAAATGTTTCTTTGTTAATATCACTAGGGGAAAAGATCAGAATTAAGGGCAAGTTCATTAATTTCAACAGCAGCATATGCTTATTGTATATTAACAATTTTTCATTCAAACTCCAATTATATTTTAAAATTTAAAATTCCTGTAATGTTTTTAACACAAATTATTATTGAAATATATTCATTATGCATAGTGATGGGCTTCATTTCATATATTCATATAACTATATCATGTACTTTGAATACATTCACTTCCTTTCCCTTTCCTTACCTATCCCATTGTTCCTATCCATTCTGCAAGTTTTCTTTCTACATAAATATATGATTATATATACATTTATACTATACACATGTTATATATAATATATTACACATATATAACTTTACTATCTATATGAAAATCTAGGATCAACAAATCAATGAACAATAACAGCATGTGATATTGTCATGACCTTCAGCTGCTTCTGTTTATCTGCAAATGTTATAATTTAATTCTTCTTTATGGTTAAATATGTGCATGCGCAGCACAATTCTTTATCAGTTCATCTGTTAATGAACATGTAAGATGAGCCTATAACTTGGATACTGTGGATAGTGTAGCAATAAACATACAGGTGACAACATGCCTGTGGTATGTTGACATAGAGACTTTGGGCATATTCCTAGAAGTGATGTATTTGGGTCATATGCTAGTCCTAGTTTTAGCTTATTGAGGAACTTCCATATTGATTTCCATAGGGTTGGAATAATTAACATTTCCATGTCAGCGTTTGTTGTTATTTATTTTCTTGATGATAACCATTTTGGCTGGGGTGAGATGGAATCTCACCGCTGTTTTACTTAGTATTTTTTGGATGGCTAAGGATTCTGAACATGTTGTTCGTATGCTTCCTGATCATCAGTATTTCCTCTTTTGAAAGCCCTCTGTTATGTTGGCACTTTCATTGAGTGGAATTTAGTTTTGTGAGTTCTGTATGTATTCTAGATTTTTATCCTCCACGTAGCTGTCAAAGATTTCTTCCATTCTTAAGATGTCTCTTCACTGAATTGTTTACTTTGCTGTTTAGAAAGTTTTAAATTCTATCACATTTATCACAATTTCAAAACTTTTGTCAACTAAACCAAACCAAGGGAGTAAAAGACATCTATAATGACAATTTTAAAATTCTGAATAGGTGCATTGTAAAAGACACTAAACAACAGGAACACCCACCCCTGAGAGGTGTTTTAAAACATCCTGTCATGTTTGTTTAACTGTTCAAAGTTCCTTTAGTAATTGATTTCCAATTTCCAATAGTGAAACCTGAATTTTAAAAATATACTGAGACTTGTTTTATGAATATATACTCTATATAAAAAAACATATATCCTGTTCTTCTAGAAGTGCACTAAAGATACTTGCTTATTTATAGAGATGTTCAAATCGCCTAATTTCCTTGTTGATCCTTCATAGCAACATATCTATTACTGAAACCATGTATGCCTATATTAAATAAAAGTAGATGTGAGTTATTTAGGAACAAAAGAAAAAAAACAGGAAAGAATAGGGGTGAGAAAGGAGGATCAGTGGAACAGGGAGAGGGGTAGAAAATGCTCATTAATCCACACATAACATATATTAAAAATAAGTTATGACACTAACTACTCCAATTATTATTATTTTTGAATTATATCGTTCCTGAAAATTTTGATTACGTTTGTCTAATGTGCTTTGAGTATCTGGGGATATGTATCTGAATTTACAATTGTTGCCTTTTTTGAGTGGAAAAATTTCTATTAAGATCTTACAACCTTCTTTTTCAAAATAACATTTTTAAAGGTAAATTTGGTCCAATTTTAAAATTTATGTTGACTTACTGATTTTTAAAAAACAGTTTTGTGATCTGTTGCTAAGCTTGGCACTGAATAGACACCTGCTATAACCCACTGAGAGCTGGCGTTACAGGTGTGCACCCACACACTCTACTGTAGTTTGATTTACAATTGTTACTGCAGTTTTCTTTTCTTTTTTCTTTTTTGCAACTAATAACACAATCAATCTTTTACATTTGTTTACTCTCACACTACTTATGCTTTTAAATTTACAGTCTTTCTTTGTAGCAGGTAGCCTATCCTTTGATATTTTCTTTTATCATGCCAAGCTGCCTTTTAATCATTATTAATCCACTTTTAGTTAATATCATCACGGATAGTAAAGAACT